CCAGTCGGGGTTTGCGCTCACGGCCGTTCCGACGGACGCAGGCGTGGTCGAGAGGGCATCCAAGGGCGGCGAGATTGTAGGGTTGCCATCGTAGGAGGAGGGTAGGACGGGCCCAATGTTGGGCGAGGCAACAGAGGAGGGAGGTGTGGCAGTGGGAGGCTTCGACGCGTTGCTATACGTCGGAGAAAAACGTCAGCGGCTCGGTTCATGGAACAGAAAGGGGAGGGACAAGGACCAAGTGCATGGCACGAGGTGGCAGTGGTCAAACATACGCGAACTTGCTGGCAGCCAGCTTGCTCACCGCAGAGCTAACCCCTCCGCCATCTTTCGCGTTCTTCTTGTCTTTCTTCGAGCCTGGTGCTTTCAGTCAGAGGTTTCCTCCAAGCTTTCGGCTGACTACAGTCTTGGGACTGCAGTCTTCAGAAGGGACTCACTCGGCATTAAGTGGTGGTGCGCAGGCAGCCAGAGCAGGTATCCCGCCCTGGTACTGGCGTTCGGCGGGGCAACGTCTCGGCTCGGGCACCGGGCAGCGGTTGCAAAGGCAGGGTAGGAAAGGCAAGCCAGGGTTCGTTGTAGGGAGATTTGATGATTGCAAGTTGCTCAGAAGTTTACGATGTCGGATTCAGAGAGGTTCGCTTTCTCGAGGCGACTCAACAGGAGAAGTCGCGGTCGTGATGCTGTCGTGGGGGGGAGCCGGAAGCCGCAGGACAAAGGGGTGGATCCTGTCCTGTGGGCGGAGCTCAGGGAGAGGAGAGCTGGGATTATTACTGAGGGTCGTGGGTCGTGAGAGGCAAATCTATAAGACACAAACAAAGAAAAGTTTCTACGTTTGGTTGATGCTATCGTGATTTCGTATGGTTTCGTGGTGTTTGTTCGTGACTGACTGACAAGAAGGGAGGGAACCAGAGGGGAGATGGAGACTCAGGTAAGGCATCGTAGGTAGAGTAGCGTCCAGTCAGGCAGTGGAGATGCGACACGGAACACGGGGGGGGGGGGGGGA